TGCAGCTTGCAACCTGGGTAAAGCCACTGGCTACTATTTCTTTCTGGTCACTCCAGTACCGGTGAGCAGAGAGTGCGATGAGGAACAACAGCCCTCCAAGTAGGCTGTAATAGCTGGTTGGAGCTGCTTCAGAGGATGGACATGCTATTAGCAAAACATGGATCTGTTCTTAGTAAAACATGGACTGAATCAGACTTTTTCTTTATTATAATATATTTCTATATATAGAGAGAGAGTTATATATATACAACCTCTGTCATAAACTTTCCATCACGTGTCTTCAGGATCCAATCCCTTTTGCAAGCCATATCTGGCCTGTGGGCTCTAGATTGCTGACCCCTGTGTTGGACAAATATTAGTCAGTAATGGTTTATATAGAGGTAGTCCTGCAGTGAGATGGACTAGATGTGCTCTCAAGGTACCATCTAGCCCTAATTTCTGTAATTCTGTTTGCTTTCAGCTAAATAAGAATGTGTCATCTTCTACTTCTCATGTCCTGTCATCCTTTCCAAGTTTGAGTACAAAAACAGGCACATACTACTGCTCAATCTGTAGCTTTAGCAAGGTCCTCATTGGTGCCTGGTGTGTGACTAAATCTGATAACACAGTCTTTACTTCCCTTTAGCAGGATTTTGAACTCTCAGTCTGTGACATCCTCGGTAACTAAGAAGAATTGTGGATCCTGGCTACCCCAGGTTCTGTGCAAAGGGAAATTCCAAGAGGTGCCTGCAAATGTGAGGAATTCAAACAACTGAAGACTATTGAACAAGTTGTGCATCTTCTCACAGGGTTCAGATTGTCCACAGTAGATATAGCTTCAAGACGTCAGGCCATCCTGCCAAGCCTGGCTGAAACCTTGCTGTAGCTCCTTCCTCTACCTTCTGTTGCTCAGAAAAGTAATAGAAGAATTGGAGACCAGGGACTAAGAAGGACTGTTGCTGAGGAAAATGTCATAAAATCTACCTTCCACATTAAGTCTTTTTGTCAATTCATAGTTAGAGATTGGTCTAGGTCCCAAGGCATGAGGTTTTATATCCCTTCCAAAGAGTCTATGATCATTAATTATAATCCCACAGATCCTTCACAAAGGAATCTCTTTTTAAATCTCACTAAATTCTTGGCCTCAACTCTTTTCTGTGGCAAGCAAGTCAAGTTACACATCATGCAAAAAAGTATTTGCGTACTAAATTTGCATCCCTTTGAATTTCAACAATTGTCCCCTTGTTTTGTGTTATGAAACAGAGAGAACAGAAATTCCTGATCTACCTGGTCTAGTCCATTCATTCTTCTATATACTTTTATCAGTTCCTTTATTAATTATCTCCTTTCTAACACAAACAATCCACATCTATTCAGCCTTTCTTGAAAGCACAGGTTTTCCCCAGTCATTTGGTTACACATTACCACCTCATCAGCATTTTCTTTCTTGGTATAATCAAACTGTGATTTCTCAGAGTGATTAGACATTTACCAGGCACATATCTTTACCCAAATGCCGTTGCCTTTACCCTTATCTTGACAACTGAAGATGCTTTAATTCTGACAAACCAATGAGGATTTTAAAAGTTAACCTACAAAAGATAAGGAAATTCACTTTGTGAATCCTTTTTTTCTTCTTTAGAGTCATTTCAGAAGCCTTTAAAAAATCTCATTTCATTAAAAAAAATCTGTTCTTAAATATCTTAACATCCCTAAAAGATCTTTTAAAAGCTAGTCAGTTTATAGCAGTTAAAAATGCTGCAAACAAGACTGGCCTGTTTTTTCTTATACATTTAAATCAGGGTTTTCTGTTGTTGTTTTAATCCATAATCCCTGACTGGAGACATATAGTTAGCCTAAGACTGGAATTAAGATTCCAGTTTAGTTATTGAGTCAACAGTTCCAGAAAAATCACTTCTGATTTGCCCCCTTTTCCTTCTAGTGGTTGACTGTCTTCAGTCTTTTCCTTGCTTTGAAAGATAGTTGCTATGAGTTGTATTCCAGGTGAATGGGGGTGGTTTAAACTCCTCAATAATCCACTTTCTCCCTCATGTTTAAGATTCATGCTGTTTCCCTTGTTAAGTCCACTAAAACTCAGATTTTTGCAAAGTAAAGTGAACAAACATTGAACCAGGCTCCTCTCATTTGTAAAATGGCATTTCTCAGCTGTTAAGTGTTAGCTAAACTCTGACAGATCTTTGCTGCTCCCTACCAGGGCCTGCATAACTGAAATGTCTCTGACTTTTAAAGCAACCCCATTGTACTAACTCCTAAATAACTGCCTATCCCTCCCCTGCTGCTACCTGTTCCCAAGTGCAATATAGACACAAGAACAGGAGCTACTCTCCAGTAATGGCCTCACAAACACCTGTGCAGAGGTAAAGTTACCTCCCTACTTTGCTGCTTCTACATTCAAGTTTCATGTTAACTCTCCCAGACAGTGTCACCCCAGAAGCTCACATTTAGCTGGCTTCTACCATAACCTCCAAGTGTTTCAGGGAAACTACTTTGCAAGGTGCAACCCTGCTCTCAGAGGCACTATGTTAGGCTCTTTAAAAATGCCTCTCCTCTCATCATTATCAACCATTCTATCAGTTGGTATGTCCTCCCTAAATTTCATCAGCAATAATTGTATATTTTCTTTCAGATAGCATTAAAATAGTCAATCAGTTTCTACAGGACAGCATTGGGAACACCCAGATTCAGTATTGGGTTCCTTTCAGCAACTTCCTTTTTTTTTTGCAATTTAACATTTACCCAATTTTTAATCCATTTACTATATACCTCTGCTGATTTTTTTTTTAATAAGGCTAATCTTTAAATTAAACTTACGATTTCATCACCAATATATCAAGTTCACTTCACAGGACCTATTTCTCATAAAATCATGTTGACGATGGCATCCTTTAGATGTGTATTCCCTGAGTCTCCTTTCAGCCATTCCAGTCATTTTTCTGGGATCAGCATAAGGTGAACATCGCATTTGCAGGGAAGGTTCTTTGAGTAGGTATGATATCTTTTATGAGACCGAGGAGTTGGAAAAAAGTTCTTTGCAAGCTTTCAGGTGCAATCACCCTTCCTCAGGCATAGGAAGTCTCTGCTGTTCTGCACATCCCATTTGCCCTTTCTAAATACAGGTACAATACAGCAATATTTCAGTCCTCTGGTCTTTCCCCATTATTGACAGTTCTCTTTTAAGCAAGCACACACATAATTTGTCAGGGTGACAGCTGGCACAGAAATACATTTTACTACTATAAAATAATTTTCCTGCCCAAGCTGTATGGCAGTTCCTGGCTATGTAGCAGGCAACTCCACATCTTACTGGAACCAGTTGGGGGTAAAAAGGCACTTCTGGGGAGTGCATTTTTTTTGTTGTAACAGCATAGTTCCAAGTAGAAGAGTGAGGACTGTTAGAAATGGTTAAGAACCATTAAAACAATATAAGCAGGTTCCATTTACCCCTAGAGTAGAAGTAATCTGTTCACCTAACCTCCTATAAAAAATGAGAGAGCAGAGAAATAAGTAAGTGTAGAAAACCAAAGTCACGAGTTTGGCTTTCAACATAAATAGCAGCTGATGTTCAAGGACAAAGACTCACTGGGAACTGTGATCTATCTATTATTTCTTGGTTACAGGGATATTTGGGAAGGAATAGCAAAGGGGGTTGGATCATTTTAATTTCTGAGAAGGACTTTGTGAACTCAGTGAGATGTTTATGCCTTTCCACTTCCTGAACACATAGGGCTGATCACCGCACGATGCATGAAAAACCAAGCAAGCCTCACGCTGTTGGGAACAGTTGGTTGCAGTTTAGCTTAAATAAGGTTCCCGAGTGACAGAACCTGCAAAAGGCTGCACTTGTAACTGAGGAAGTGTGTTACATTGGTATTATTATCCATTTACATTCTTACCAGCATTTAAATTCACTGATAGCTCAGACCTCTACCACCTTCCCCCAGAGAAAAGACCCCACCTGACATCAGGGAACTCAGACCACCATGAACAGAAAAAAGAAACAGCTGAGGCTTGGAGCCTAACATAGTGTAGAAATCAGACATTAACATGAATAACAAAAGCATCATTCAGAGCCATGCTAGCCAGCGGCTGATGCTGTCTCTGACTTGGACAGGTGGCTGGGGAGGTCCCGGAGCCCCAGGCAATCTGAGGCCAGCTGCCAAGGCTCCTGTGTGCTCCATCCTCCCATCTGGTAGCAGCAGCCTAGTGGGAGCTCTGCCCCCTGTGGAGCCTTCAAGCTCTGCATGAAGTTTTTCCCACAGTCCCAACACTAGTAGGGGCACACCTGTGTGTTCATGCACTAGTGCTAGACCAGGTTGAAGCTGTAGCCAAAGCCCCTCCCACAGTCAGGGCACCAGAAGGTCACAAGTCAGTAGCTGGTGCCAGGCCCTGTACAAATATAGTAGGGGCAGGGGCACTGGGCTGGCTGTGCATGGCCTTTAGGACACCCAGCTTGGAGGGAGGGAATATAGGTTCTGCCCCTTGCTTCCTGCTGTGTATCTATTTATATTAAAATGACTAGGTCCCAGGACTCCCTCCCCGAATCACTAGGCCACAGAGCCACACTCCCTCTTGCTCATTCCCCTTCTGTCCCTCTTGCCCTCAGCAGAAGGGTGGAGGATGCTCTCAGTCTGGCCCAGCAGTTAGGCCCCTGCTGAGAGGTAGGAACTCCAGAACCCCCTGCTCTGACCCATAGACACTGCTCCACTGCCAGAGCTGGGGGAGAACACAGGAGTCCTGATTACCAGCCCCTCCGCTCTAACCCACAGGACCCCATTCATCTTCCAGAGCTGAGGACAGAATCCAAGAGTCCTGAAAGCCGGCTTCCCTGCTTTCCCTTGCTCCATCTAATGCTTCTCCCACAGACAAGAATAGACCCCAGGAGTCCTGGCTCCCAGCTTCACGCCCTCCTGCTGCTAAGTGAAGCACGGTGTTCTGCACAGCCCGGCCAGCTGCCTGTAGGCTGTGCTCAGTGACACCAGGTTCTCTCTCCCCTGGTGCAGGGACATGGAGGTGATTAGACAGTGCCCTGTGGCTGGGATGAAAGTTCACTCTCCTGTGTCTTGTTGCACTTGCATGGAGCTGTTCCCCAGGCGCAGCACGTAAGTCCCTGCGAAGGAAGGGACTGGTGGGGTGGGGGGCAGAAACCAGCTGCCCATGATAAGCACCAGTGCCTGTGCTAAGCACCAAGAAGGGATGCCCTCTCTGTGGGAGGAGGGAGGCCAGTGTGATCTGCACAGGCAGTATGTGGAAAGCTAGTGCAGATCAGTGGACCATACCTGTGATTATTCTCTCTCAGGACCCAGTGTAGTCCTGGGGATCAGCCTCTAGGACTCCTGGGTTCTTTCCCAGGTCTGGGAGGTGACTGGAGTCCTGTGGTTACAGGAGGGTGGACATTTGGGGTCAGGATTCCTGGGCTCTGGGAGAGAAGTGGGGCAGGAAGCCAGAACACCTGGGTTCTTTCTTGCTGAAAGGAAACTGGGTCCACTAGGCTAGAGCAGAGGCAGCCCAGAGTTAGGTATCTCCTGTGGCCTTAGTCTCAGCTACTCTACCTGTACCTCAGTTTCCCTTCTGTAACATGGAACTGATGGTCCCATGCTCTTAAGGAGGGACCCCATGAGACCAAATCTTGGTGAAAAGACTCCAGTATTCTAGCAATGGGGGCAGAGACAGCCCCTGCCACCCACTATAGGGATGCTATTCATGTGTGGGATGGGGGCAATGACCCCAGGAGTAATCTTGGAGCTCCTGAGCCTCCTCAGAGCAGCCTCTGCCCCAGCACAAGCCCCAAAGTTATACCCCTCCCCTGGCAGCCCCAACAGTTGCTCAGGATCTCAGCTCCTGCTAAGCCTAAGGCCGGATTTTCCTTGCAGGTCCTGTGTCCCTCAAGACTGGCTGCCCTGCCCTGCACCCATGGACTCTACTGCTCCCCCAGCTTATCCCAAGATGAAGGTTTACAGGGACAAAGGTCAGTGCTCCAGTCCGACTTCAGTCGGTGATGGAGGAGACAGACTCCTGCATGCCACACCCCCCAAGAGTCATGTGCACTCACTCCCAACCCAGGAGACCGCCAGAAGCCACCTGCAACCCTATTGCACCCCTGACCCCATGCCTATTACACAGCACAGACCCCCACAACCCCTTAACTTCTTCCACCTTGCCATACCCATTGTATAGTGCAGCCAGCCCCACCCCACTTCCTCTCACATACTGTACCCCCCACTTCCTATCTTACAGCACAGCCATCCCCTCCCTCCAGCCCTCCCTACTGCCCAGGTGGTTTCATGCACAGCGTGGTCTGTCCTTTCTCTGAGCACTGATAATTCCTCCTGTCTCACATTTTTCATGGGGCACCACTGCCCAGGCCCTCCCTGTTCTTCTGCACTTCAAGGATGAGGACAAGGATGGGCAGGCAGGAGCCAGAGCATGGCTATTGCTGTTCTGGACCACCTGCAGCAGTTCTCTCTGCCCCTGCTGCACACTGTGGGCTAAGCTGCTGGGATGTTTCTCTCTCTTTCCTAGAGGATGTGACTCTGGATCCAGACACAGCTCACGCCAGCCTAGTCCTGTCTGTGAACCGGAGAAGCGTGACAGCCACAGACACGCCCCAGTCTCTACCCAACAGCCCTGGGAGGTTCAATGTGTACTCCTGTGTGTTGGGCACTGATGGCTACATGTCGGGGACACACTACTGGGATGTGGAGGTGGGAGACAAGCAGGGCTGGGCCCTGGGTGTCACCAGGGAGTCTGCCAACAGGAGGGGATGGTTTGATTTCAGCCCTGAGCAGGGCACCTGGGCCATCCAGCTCTCCATGGACCAGTACCGGGTAGTCAATGCAGAATGGAGCCTGCTGGACCTGCCACAGAGACCTAGGAAGATCCGTGTGTACCTGGATTGTGACAGTGGGGTTGTGGGTTTCTATGATGCGGATACCATGGCCCCCATCCACGCCTTCACTGCTTCCTTCTCTGGGAAAGTCTGCCCATTCTTCTGGGTCTGGTCTGTGGGGACATCCCTAAATCTGTGCCCCCCGCAGCCCACTATGAACTGCGGGCTTGGCTGACACCCAAAGACATTGCTGTAAGAATATCCACAGACCCGGGTGGGCTCTGGGTCACGTCATGTTCAAACCTAGGGATCCTTCAACAGGCCCATAACCAGGGGAGTGACCAACCAGGTGACCTCCCTCTTCAGTATTTCTCCCCAGTGCCCCGTGCACCTGGCACAAAGTCCCTGATAAGACCCAGCCGCCTACTACTTTCTCGTACCCTAGATTCCTTCATGAGAGCCCCTTCAGCCAGACAGGCTGCTTCTCCATCTCTCCTTTTTCCCTGCTCTGCTTTGGACCCTGATTTAAAAGAGATTCAGTCCATCAGAAGGACAGCACTGGGTCTCATTCGCACAAGACTTATTGGTTATACATGGTATTCTAACCCCCTCCCCTTGGCTAGTTTCCAGCTTCCAGTTGCAAACCCCTCTGGGCTGGGGTGCCTTTGTCTCTGCTTGGCCAGAGCTCAGAATACCTTGATTTCCCTCTCAGGTCTCTGCGGCTTTCCTTTCTATCAGCATTGAATAATGGTGTTCAGGATCTGAGAAATGCACCTACATTTTGTTTAGTATTGGCTGATATAACTGAAGTCACTGCCCAAGGCTAGGAGCAGTCTGGCCAGGCCTGGGGAGAAGCTGCCAGTGAGTCCTGAGAGGTGTCCCTGGGACTTGGGTGCAAGCTCAGGAGCTGAGTCCATGACCTGGCAGCAGCTGTCTGGCAGCATGTGAAAAGAGCTGGGAGGCAGGGCGACAGCCAGAGCAGCACTGGCAACATGGCCCTGACCAGAAGCAGGCACCGAAATTCCTGGGGCGCAGGCGCAGCTGGAAGAGCAGTGCCTTGTGCCTGGGGAGTGGTTATGGGCCAAATCTCCCACCCACAGAGGGCAGAGAAAGGGAGATGGAGGCTGAGAGAGACAGTAGGAGCAGTCAGGAGGCAGGGAGGGGACTGGCTCCAACCCAGCCAGGACCCCTTCCCTGCAGCCCCCCCTGGGCAGAGGCACTTTCCTGTGACCAAGGTGAGGAGCAGAGAGACAAAACCTGTCCCTGCCCCTGCCTGGTCCCTGTACTGCTGAGGGAATGAGCTGCCCCAGGGGACAATGTTGGAGGGATCTATCAAGACAGCTTTTCATTAGGACATAAAATGCCTCGGTGACTTCAGTTCCACAGCGAGGGCTGGTCTGCGTTGTCATATAGTGACTCAGTGCTGTCCTGCATGGCAGAGGCTGCTAAGCTTCGGAAAGAGCTCTCTTGGGGAAAGTGCCTGTAACCCTGAGCCCCCTGGAGCTGGCTGAAGATTGGGCTGCTGGAAATGAGTACGCGGGTTCCTGCTCTAAGTGCTCTATGGGCTGCCCCCAACTCCGGGCAGGAGCAGGCAAAAATAAGTTTGGGGTGCGGGTAGAAAGAAACTGAGACTAAGGCCGAGGCTGGCTGCCCGGCCAGCTCGCTATAATAAGCGGCAGCACAGCAGGGCAAAGGACAGCCAGATGCAAGGTGCATGCGAAAAGGCAGAACATGTTTTTCTGGAAATTTAATTTTTCTTTAATCTGAAATAAAGAATAAGATAATCAGTAAAAAAAATGCAAGATTAGTACCAGGAGTCTGCTTGAATGAGTGCAGGATAAATAAGATGGACTTCAATGGATTTTTGTAGATTTACTCGTGAACCCCAACGGCACGTAGTGGTTGCAAAGCAGGGGGGGGAAAAAAAAAAAAAAAAATCACATTCTTGGGCATAAATCAAATCTATGTTGCACATTAAAAATGATAAAAATAGCCCTCATGGAAGAAAGCGACCTAAAAATAAAACGTGTCAGAGCTAAATATAAAACATGTCGGAGGTGTATTAAATTACCACGAAAAACGCCCCCTAAAACAATCAAATTGTCTGTTAACATGGATCTGCAGACGTCATTTAGTTAGCTTAAAGGCAACTTTTGTCATGTGGACACAGGAAAAGTGTAACGTGGAAACATCAGAGGTGTAACATGGACAAGCTCCCCAAGGGAGCAGAGCAGCACCTCTGTTAGAGTCCTGCTTGAGCACGACGTTGTGGTTGAAGGTGTCTGTCACATAACTAGTTCAGTAGTGTCAAGTATCTAGTTAGGTAGCACCCTCCCAAGAGTCTTTGCTTTTCCAGCCACTCTCTGTTTCAGTGTGGAAGCGGTTATCTCCTTTTTGTTTCTCTGACCGTCCTATTGTTTTCTCTTTCGATACAGAAGTATATATCTATATTTATTGTCTGTTTATAGCCCCATAGGACCTCAGTCTGTCGACTGATATCAGGGATGGGTACCAACTGGAGGTCCATGCACCCACGTCCTTTCCTGCCATGACTTGGTGTTTATAGGCGTAGATTCAGTACCTGGGCGTGTAGTTCCAGTTGGCTGTCATCCACTGTCCTCTGTTCCGGAGGCCTATGTTCCTGAGGGCTCCACCATCCCCTACACCCTCGCCCGTTCCACCGGGAATCAAAATCATCCTTTCGTCAATATTCGGCCTTCGGGTTCTCTACCAAGTGCTCCCGTCCTGGATTATTGCTCCCCCGTTTTTTTTGTTTTTTTTTGGGGGGGGGGGGGGAGGGGGGAGAATGAAAAAAGAAATATCCGGTGAGGTCGCTTTATCCTTCACCTGTAACCGTCTTTACGGCAGCTCCTCATGAGCCTCTTCTTCGGATCATTACAATCCCCTCACCCCACTGGGTCTGCCACTGACACTTTGTTTTGCACCCCTTTTAGGGTCTTAATGGTACCTTTGTTCCGATGTGCCCCCCTATTAGGGTTTTTATGGTACCTTCCCCAGCCCTGCTCTGCCAAGATGGCAAGCAGGTCCTGGTCCTGCCATCCACGGCACCTTCCTCTAAGTCCTCTCTGGGGAGCTCCCTCTCTGCAGGAGCTTCCTGCCCTCGCCAGGATGCTCTCCAGTTCTCCCACAACCTTGCTCCGCCCGGCTCCTCTCCTTCCGGTCCTGCGCTCTCTCCTCCTGCCTGCTCCGGGCTCTTGTTTATAGAGAGGCTTGAATTCCCGGCCCCGCCCCTCCAGAAACACCTGGTTAAGGAGTATTTCTGACCAGCTCTTTGGGGCTGCGGCAGCTGCTTCTACCTTTGGCCAGTGCTCCTCTGCCCCTTGGGGCTCTGTCTCTCTCTGTCTCACAGTGGCCACTCTAAGAGCTCTAAAACGATGCGCTGTGTGCGTCCCTGCCCCACACTGCTGGGGGATGAGCCCAGATGCAGGGGAAGGGGTGTCTCTGCACTCTCCCTCACCACCACAGTTCCTGGTAGTGCACATGAGTGTCCCTTGTGGCCGGGGGCAGCCCCCGCTCTTTGGCGAGGCATGCCCCATAGGATGGCCACCATAGAGGACATTCTGGTCTTCTGCTACTCTGTCCTCTACTGATACAAAA